AAGGTAAAATGTCTATATAAATATATGTCCAAAAGGTCATCATTTTACCTCAACACACCAACTCATAACAAATGTTCAAAATGTCCTCCGCTTGCTTCTACGCATGCATGTACCCGTCGGATCATTGACTGGTGGACCCCTTCAAATACTCTCAAACGGAGTCGTACTTTTTCGCAGGTCCCATGACAAGATGATGAAAGGTCTTTGCATTATTAATGTCTGCAGCATGAATTGTTTTAGGTAACCCCACGATTAAAAATCCAAAGCATTGAGAGTGGGGAAACATGCAGGCCATTGAACCGTTCCTCCCCTACCATTTTTGATGGTAGATATTAGTGCATCGCGAACAATGAGACTATGTGCTAGAGCGGCATCATGCAAGAACTACATGTGTCTTCTTATTAGCAGGGGCACATACTCTTCCAAATGCTTTCTCATCTGTAAACAAGACAGAAGAGACAAACAATGCATCGGCAATTTGTGCAAAGAACCATCAGCAAAAGTTCTCTGGAGAGTGCCCAGAAAGCGAATGACCCTGCACACGCTGATACGGATACAGGAGCTACACTTGAAGTAACCTCCATGCGGGACTATGAGTTGTACGGCATGCGAGGACCACATGACATGTACTGATACCTGGATCGTCTCCGATAGTCTGTAGAATGTGTCCATCATGGCCAAGGATACAAATGGATCCCAGTCTTCTTCGATCCATAGTTTGTGGTGCCACGGATCCTGTCTCAGCAACGCGACGCTAAACAGCAGTAAAAATTGGTTGACTCGGCTGCCTTTGGTCTGAAAACGCAATCTGATACAGTCGTGCGGCCTTGCGTCCATAACTATTCGTATATAAAAAAAAAACATATCTGCCTGCTCACGATATAAATATCCTGCCATTGTTAAACGAAACACTTCTCAGTTAAATCACTACTACATACATTAAACTTTGATGATTGACTAGCATCAAATGTACATGAATGACAAATGTAACTTAGTCTGCATGGCAACTCAGCAACATCTACAGTAAACTTTCTTTAAACTTAATAATTCAAAAACGAATGACTGCGGACATATTGTTTATATGGACTTTTGACTTTGTTTTGGTGCGTGTAAGCCACCTTCAGTTTGTAAAAGAGCTTTAATTGTATTCTATTTTTTATGAATAAATTTAATAAAAGAAAAAAGAAATCATTAATGACTCAACCTAATATATTGTCGGAAGGGAAAATAATGGAGGGAAAAGGTGAGAGGTAAGCAGAAGGCTGCAATAATCATTATTAATCAATAAAATTAATCGACACAAAATTTCTGCTGTCTTTAACATATATATATATATATATATATATATATATATATATATATATATATATATATATATATATATATATAAGAATTAAGTTCTTTTATATATCCTGCACGGGTATAAGAAAATGCAAGTGGAGTGTTTAAGAATATTTATTTTACCGGTTTAACAGTTCTAGGACTTTCAAAATTTAAACTGTGATGAATAGATTGTGTTTGTGACGTGGTATGTGTCATATATATATATATATATATATATATATATATATATATATATATTTTAGATTATGAAAAACTAGGTAATCCGTATGGGTAGACCAAATGAAAGATAAAATACAGAGAGCTCAATGCAAATCCAGAGCAAATAATTTAAATAAAACAGACCCTTTTTAAGGTTCCATGGAACCTTAAAGTGGTCTGTTTTTATTTAAAATATATATATATATATATATATATATATATATATATATATATATATATATATATATATAGTATCTGTTTTTATTTAAAATATATATATAAATATATATATATATGTATGTATATATATATATATATATATATATATATATATATATATATATATATATATATATATGACATTAATAATTGAACACGAGCAGCCTATTTATATAATCTTTATTCTATTAACAAAGGAATGGGAAAGATAGAGAGAAAACTAAAGAATAAACTAGAGGTGAATAAAGTAGGAGGAATGAAAAAGAAAGATAAAAGTGAGAAAGAAAGACAGAAAATAGGAAAGTATGAAGTGTGGGATATAAAAAAAAGACAGAAAGATTTTAGAAAGGAACTAGGCAAACCAAAGAAAGAAAGAAACAAACTAGTGAAGAATAAAGTAGAAAGAAAGAAAGAAAGAAAGAAAGAAAGAAAGAAAGAAAGAAAGAAAGAAAGAAATGGAAGGAAGAAAGAAATGGAAGAAAAGTAGTGGAATGAAAAGAAAAGAAAGAAAGAAACTCGTGAGGTGGGAAAGAAGAAAAAAGGTGGGCGAGGTTAAAGAAAGAAAAACAAACTGGGAAGCAGTAAATAAATAAATAAATAAAGAAAGAAAGAAAGAAAGAAAGAAAGAAGGTGAGCGGGGTTAAAGACAGACAGAGAGAAACTTGGGTGGGAGTTAAGAAAGAAAGAAAGAAAGAAAGAAAGAAAGAAAGAAAGAAAGAAAGAAAGAAAGAAAGAAAGA